TTTTCAACTTTAATTGTATAGACTTTTTCCAGTCTATACAATTAAAGTTGAAAAACCTTCCTAAGTCTCCATTCTACTGTTTCAAACGCAAACGCGACCAATATTTTTCCTAAGATTTCGAACGTTATTTGTCAAGATTAGCATATAAGGTCTCATGGGAATTAAGGGTTTATATTATGCCACACTTCTCCTCTATATGTAAAAATTCAAAGAATAGCTGAATATTGGGAAAAGAAAACCATATTTTATGTGCAGTACTTACGTTGCTATTCTAGATAAGAGATTAAACATATAAAACTAACCAGTCTCATAAACGTTATTCTCTACTTTCGACTATTGTGATAAGTCCTGCTTCCATTGCGCTGCGGCCTAATCCTCGCAATACAAAGATCGTGATGTTCACATAATTCCACTTCTTTTTTTAATAAAGAAAAAACCCCCGAAACTGGATCGAATTAGATGTGCACTGCAAAAGCATTCCATAGCAAAGAACTTCCTTCGAATTCTAATCCTGTAACTGGGAAAAACCAACTGCAGAAGAGAGGAAGACAGTGAAGACAAGCAGTATATAAATTTGCTTTAATAAAGCTGGAAGACAATGTACCAGTAACCTGACTTCAATCAAATTGATATACAAACATAAAATCTGACAAGTAATATACAAAGACGATTTGTGAAAACAGATTGGTGAGATTAACTGAAAACGCAACACTGAAAGTCGACTAGAACCCCCATGGAAACAAGAGTATGAGATACTCGAAACGCGAGAGAAAACTGAAAACATCGTGGATAAGAAGCATCGGGAGCGAAGTTTTGAATGATGACATATTAGTAGAAAAAAGCCATCACATTTGCATTAGCAATAAGAATCACGAATCGATGGAATAATGGAAAGAAAGAGGAGTGGCATAATCTGTGTGTGAGACGTTTTCAGGATAAAAACAGACACATAATAATATTCATAACATTACAGAGAGTGTTACGACGGAATTTTAGTTGATACCTGTTTACTCCTACCAACAACGGAGTGAACCATAGGCTTAAATAATATTAAATACATTTGAAAGAGCTGGGAAATGAAGCGTTGTCAGCTGGGTGTCTTATGAGAGATATCTGACGACACGTTCGGATGCAGGTAGACATCTCGCAGAATCGCACCTACACGAGCTGTTTCGTCGAGCTGGGTATTGTACTGCTCAACAAGGCTTTTGATGAGTTGCTGAGCTTCCGATAATCGCGCCTCCAAAATCACTTTTTCACTCTCCAACTTCTCGATGAGTGCGGTCGCCTCAGCTGCTCGAAAAGGCGCTCTAAAACACCAAAAAATTAGGATGGGAGTCGATGAAACAAAATGAAAGAAGCTGAAAGGTTCGCGCAAGCTGTACAGAATACGCCGCCTATATTTTAAAAGGGTTCGTTCCGTTCCTAATAATAACCTTGGTAATCATCACAGAAGGAAATGAGCATCAAGAGCCAGACAAAATGACAAAATATAATATTAGATGGCCAAAATGTAATTGAAAAAAAAAGTTGCCTCCCACTTAAACATGCCTACCGCTACCAGCTATCTGAATCTACATGTTTAGTAAATTTATCCCATGTTAGAAGTGTGCAGTACCTGCGTTATGGATTTTTCACAATGTTGACTGCATCGTAGTATTAAAAAATCCGCAAAATTTGTCGTTCACCAGATTCGGTCACTCTTGAGAGGAGCTCCCTTGAATCCCGTGACTCCTTTTGAGGCAATAACCTAAACAAGTGATTCTGTCATGTACGCCTCAGCAATAAACTAGCCGTAGACTATCTAATCTTACGTTACCTAAGCTGGATTTGACTATAGCTTCCCCAAAACATGTGTTATTATGCTCGTTTCCGTTCAAATATGGTAAAGCTCCCCACTAAGCAGCGAAAGACTGATCACAGTTCACAAATGTGAAATACTTCAAGATAAAATGCTATGCAGTTCTTTCGTTTGTTTTATGCAAAATGTCTTACTCTGATCCAAGGTTGTCTGAATGTCGCACATTCAAAGGCAGCAAAGAAGCAACAGTACAAACTTTGACCAAATTACTTTCGCATGCGTTCTTAAATCTAAATAGCCTGGGCAGAAGTTTTCGCAAGCAGGACCCAATCCACAGCAGTCAATGCGAAAGGAAAAGAATGAAATACACAAGGTTAGCAGTTGCGCTAATTTGTACGGCACACCCTAAAAGCTCTATGGGCGCAAGACCAGCGCGGAACGGCAGAAGCAATTCTCACCGTTCGCACCGTACTATGCGCAGCGCGGACTACATGAATGTATTGTGCAAAGTGAGCTTTGATAAGGCCTTTTAGTATGCGGCTTCATACAGAAGTTCAGGGTAGTTGCATGAAGAGAGGACTGGATGTAGCACCAATCGATTACAATACATCCTTTCAAGTAATTAATCTTGCTTCCTCTCGGTGCTAGAGAGGCTATCATTGTGCGAAACTGACCGTCTCAAATCTCCGCCGCTGCCCTCACTCCCACCAAGGCTGCATTTATACCGGGACGATGGCATCGATAGTAGCATACGCAGTTCCGACAGCTTTTCCTTCGTGGCATCCAAACGACCTTTAAGCTTCCGTACTTCCCGTTTCAGAGCGATTTTATCCTGCAGCTGACGAGATAAAAAGTTGAATTGAACATTCAGTATGAAAGAAACATACATCAGCTAGACTTCCTGCGCTTGAACCAAGATCTTCGATTCCACTCTCTGCCAACGTATGATCACCGATCACAGTGTGGTAGATTTCGCGCAATCTCATTTCAGCCAATTCACATTTCTCACAGCGGCCAACCATGTTCGAGAAAGACTAAAACAACAAAATGACATGCGCAGTTGCTCGTTCAACTGAATTCATGCTAGCATAGCTTGCACCGTTTCCCGAAACGAAAACTTCGACGTAAAGGGAAAATGGCAAAATAGACAACACGAAAGCATCGGCTAAAGAGGACCACAATGTGCGACAACTCACAAAAATTATTCGCTAGTGATGGCCGAATTCAACTAAACAAACATTTT